TATATGAACTAGATTATACAAATTAATTCATCTGGGATTTGAAAATAAACAATAATGTTTATTAAATTATTAGTAAGAAAAATTTATATTTGAAATTATAATTGCCAAAAAGCAATTTTATAATATACAAAAAAAATGTAATGTCTAGATTATTATGGGCGAAAGGCAGCTGAGATGTGCCAGAAATTAAAATAATATAAGATAAAGTCAACAGTATATTTTTGGCAGATGAAATTATATAATTCAGTTTAATAAATAACGCAATAATTCCAAAATTGCATATACATTATTTTTTTTAAACTTGTGCATGTCGCATTTTGGTTTACTTTACTAAATTATTTAACAATACAAAAAAAATCTACTTTTAAAAAAAATGATTTAGAATTTTGTTTCATGTGTCGAAAATTCATTTGTTTGGCATTGGATATAGAATATTTAACAAGTTGATCTTAGATTGAAGAATGCTCGTATGAACTAGATTTTACAAATTAATTCGCCTGAGATTTGAACATAAACATTAATTTAATGTTTATTAAATTATTAATAAAAAAATTTACATTAAAAAATAATTGCCAAAAAGCAACTAATTTTAGATTGAGATCATGAAAATTATAGACTAAATTATTGAAGCAATTATGTTGTGTGGTAAAATCAAGTGTGATATTGTTCTTTTACCGCAGATTCTATTTTTTTTTTTCTGAAATTCTTATACTAAGACCATAAGTGAATCACTATTCTTATACTAAGACCATAAATGAATCACAAAGGTAGGACATCAAATAGGATGTTAAAAAGTATAGGATAGGATATTAAAAAATTTGGAACATTTGAATTGTAGATGTGGGTTCAGGACAAAGTCTGTCGGGTCATCTAGTAATACTATAAAATTAAATTTATTAGCTTTGCGTTTGATATTGTATTGAATTCGTACAGAGCAAAAAATCAAAAAAATTATTATGTCTATAGACAATTAATGATCAGATTATTTTTAAAAAATCCTGAATTTTAATGTATGAACATTGCGTGTATTGAATAAAATGAAATGTTGAATAAAAAATATAGTTTGTAATGATATATGATTTAGCCAACGTGTCTGTTATCAATTGCAATATTGTTGCAAAATATTTCAATATTCCAAATATTATTTGCTAGCTCTCCGCAAAAAGTCAAATTGTTAGGAAATTCCTTTGACTCTACAATCGAATAACATTTCATTTGAAATATTTCAAATTTTTGTTATTCTTGTGCCCGGTTGTTGAAATGAACAATATCCGTACGTGCGAGCATAAATACAGCACATGTTGCAAACATGTGTTACTTGAGCGCAGGTACAGGCGATCAGTTTTCAAGTGAAAAATTACTGACATTTTTGTTTAAATGTGGTGTCGAAAAAAAAATCAGTGAAATAATGATACCAAAGATCGGAAGTAAATTTTAAGCGACCGCAATTTTAAATGCTTTTTTTTTCATATACCTACTAAACATTTAATTACAAAAATCTAATGTCTTAGGTCTTACTGCATGTTACGGTTGGGAATTTGATGAATCTTCGCAGATCAGTTGAACTTAAATAGAGTTGATAGTCAAAACGAGCCCTAAAATATTATAGGCTTATGAGAAGTGTAATATATACATATTTCAAATCAAAGCGGGGTTATTCGATTTCAAGGCAATACTGCTTTATGATTACCTTTTCGATAAAAGCACAATTATAATGAAATTACTGTGATATGAAAATTTCAATTATTATTGTAAATAGCAGCAATATAAAGAAATTAACTAGTGAGGTACATGGCATCGTGCCGTAAGGCAAATTGCTGGAACTTCCCGTACCGTAATTAAAAATCTTGACAGGGAACCCAAAAAATACACTAAATGTGTACACATTATGAAAATCTCTATAAAATATCTGATAATTTGATGTGCATAAGTCCAATAAACATTGTTGACCGCCAAATGACATTTTTTTTACTTCATTTTATTGAGAGTACTAAACGCTGGACCTGCCTTCTCAAAAATTTAAACAGTTCTTCATCTTTTCAATACCTGTCTGTGCCATAAACTAATCAGCACGTTTCCTTATTAATAGGAATCGATTATTTTTGAATAACCGAAATCGGTAGAACCGTGTTCCCGAAATTGTCAATGAAAATTTGTATCCGCACACACACATACATCCATTTTTTCTAAAGTATACCAAAATGTTCAGAAACTTCTGAAACGTAAAGTTATATACAAATTTTCATTTTCTATTTTTTGCGATGACTATAACTTACCCTACGGGAAGTTAATTAAGTTGGTAGCCCTAAAATATTAGAGGCTTATGAGAAGTGAAATATATACATATTTCAAATCAAAGCGGGGCTAATTCGATTTCAAGGCAATACTTCTTTATGACTACCTTCTCAATAAAAACAAAATAATAATATTGCACACGACTAATGAAATTTTGCATGTGAAAATATCACTTATAAAAAAATAGCACAATATAAAAGAATTAACAATATTATTTCAGGGTTTTGTCTGCTTTATTTTATTAAACCGACCCTAATTATAAGTTTCAACTGGAATCATGAACAAAATTACTATAAAAGATAGAAACTGGAATCCTAAAAATATTACACGAGTGAAATGTTTTACATACATGACTAACTGTTAATTACATAGTCGGTTAAGATCATTAAACGAGGAAATGATTAATTAAACACCAAATCACTTACCTGATTGTATGCATGTAATTAATAAATTAAAGTTACTTCTGTTTAAGGCAGTTCTTGAAAGCACTATACACTTTTATAAATATTATTGGAAGAAAATTATTACTTATAGTGTTTGGTAATAGTATCAACTTTCATATAACACTGTATTTATTATTATATTGTTTTTATCAATTAAAATATATTAATAATTAAGATGAATCAATTTTTATTAATATTTATTTAAATCAAATTCATGTATTTTATATATTAGATTAATTAAATTAAATTGTTTTTTAATACAGTTCTTGAAATCACTACAAACTCTTTCATAAAGAAATATTACTTAAAATATTTGGTAATAGTGTTTTTGATATAGAAAATTTGAACTAAATACACTTTGATTTAACACGGTATTTTTTATTACACTGTTTATATTAATTTAAAAAAAATATTATTAATTTAAATTATTCAATTTTTTATTAATATTTATTTTAAATCAAATTTTTATATTTTACATATTAAATTAATTAAATTCTAATAAATGATCGTGAACTGGAAAAGCACATTTTTATTTTAATAAATGTAATTATTATTATTTTATTTATCAACTATCTCATATCATGATAAAAAGAATATAAATCACTGCACACTCAATTTTTATTAATTGTTATATACTTAATCATACAATATATGGATGACAAACATATATCAATTCGTATTATATTTTTCTGTCATATATTGAAATATGTATCGAAATTGTTAATTCAAATTTTAATAAAATTAAATGATAAATTTTTAAAGAAACTGAATTTTTAAAATTTTAATGTTTTATTTTATTTTATTTACTCATAATTAATTTACATGTAATCGTAAAACAAATTCAATTATAAATATTAAAAAAATCTATTTGTATTTTTTATTAATTTTATTATAAACAACTGTAATTACTCGATTGAAATTATTCGCATTTTTTCAAATTAGTTACGTGTTGCACCTATTGTATATTTATAAATTTCACTGTTATTAAAATATTTATACAATTTCACTATTATAATTTTATCCTAGACACTTTATTGGCGCGCTACTTCTTGCACTTAACAATAGAATACTTGGCGCGCGTCCTTCCAAGTATCCATGTCTGTGTCCATGACCATTCGGCCTTCCACTTCAAAACGCAACTGGTAAAGTCTTGAAGTTGAAGAACGATGGTGTTTTGTTCATCCTTGCACTATTCTATACCACGAGAGGGGATACGAGTTATAAAACAAATTCAATGAAAAAAAAACAGTTATGCAATGTGTTTTGACAAAAGAGACGCATCGATGTGTGGATAGTATCTTGCGCAGTTTCTTTCCGGAATTTGCTCAAGGTTTATAATAGACGAATAAAATGTTTGCAAAAATTTTACAGTGATTTTGCATTCTGAATGTTTATAGGATTTTTTGAGAGTTGAGATTAATCAAACTGGGTGAATTAGTTATTTTTCAATTATGTCAAAACTAGTGGGGTGCATGGCATCGTGACATAAGACAAATTGCTGGAACTTTCCGTACCGTAATTAAAAATCTTGGTACGGAACCCAAAAAAATCATACAAAATGTGTACACATTATTAAAATCTCTATAAAATATATCTGATAATTTGATACATGTCCAATAAACATTTTTGACCGCCAAAGGACTTTTTAACTTATTTTATTGAGAGCCCATAACCGCTGGACCTGTACAATTTTTTTAGTAAGTAAAATGTTTTTTGAATTATAAAAATGGGACGCTCCGCTCTCTTAAAAACTGAGTTACCATTTTTGGCACCTTTTGCCCCGTATCTACGAAACGGGTACACCTGCCTTCGCCAAAAACTAATTAGCACGTCTTCTTATCAATACGAATCGAATGTTTTTTGAATTATTCAAATCGGTTGATTGGTGTTCCTGAAATCGTCGACGAAAATTTGTATCCGCACACACACACACATACACATACATTCATTTTTTCTAATAATAAGGTATGCCAAACTGTTCAAAAACCTTTGAAACGTGAAGATATATAAAAATTTTCATTTTCGATTTTTTTACCCTACGAGAAGTTAATAAAAATAAATATATAAATAACCAAGCAATCATTAGCAATATTCTTCAATGAATTATATTTCGCTTGATAATAATCAAACTGAAATATCTAAGAATAAGAAAAAAATGCATCAAATCTACATATGATATTATATTTAAAGTTTTATAAATATAGAAAAATATTTCATATATTAACAATGAACGAACTACAAAAAACTACAAAATTAGCCTTCTTATTTTTGCAATGAGCAAAATTCATATTATACCAAACAATGCTCTTAAAATATGCAAAGAATTAACTTAATAATAATTTTATATGTATAACAAACTACTTCATAGTATTGATGAAACAAAAAACAGAACCAAATGAGGCAATAAAGAAGAAAAGTATTTTTTAATTATTTTTGGGATCGGGAGTCAAACGCATGTATTTCTTTCCGGAAGGCACGTTGTACATAGACATGCCTTTAGGAAACAGACTTGGGATATCCTCTTGTTTGACGGTGGGTAGGATCATACATTCCTGACCAGCCTTTCAATAAAAAAAATATTTTAAATAATTAGGAATAAATTATTTACTTAATATATAATTATTAATGAAGAAGAAATAATTACCTTCCAATCTGCCGGTGTGGCGACTAAATTTTGGTCAGTCAATTGCAAAGAATCAATTACGCGTAAAATTTCACTAATGGAATAAAAAGAATTATATTACATAACTTAAATTTTCATGCTTTTGACTATAAGTCATAATGTTATTGATTCGTTTTAACATTCAATGATTACTATAATTTACAGGTCTATTTTCCTATAAACCAGGGCTATATCAAGGTATTATTCTCTAACAGTAAGATTATTTTTTTTGAATCAGTTAAATAAAGGATTACACGTCTCCTATTTGAATTTTCATAAAAACAATTTTATATTAAATATAATAATATTTATATTTCAAATAAACTATCATTGTCTATCATTGAGTCTATAAATTTATTTAAAATTCTTCAAATTTGGATCCCATCTTCGTTCATCCCATCTCAAGAATTTATTATCCTTATTTTTATTTATTTGTAGAACAAAAAGAATTACTATACCAAATGACAGTATGCAACGATCTTTCCTATATATTCCTTTCAATACAAACTACGTTTCTAAATTTAGTAACAACAAATTTATCATATTTGATAACTTTTTTATCGCTGTTATAACTCCTCATGTTACTTATTATTATACAATGGTTTGATAACTTTTTATAGTCAGAAATTCGATAAGACATCCACGCATTGCACCACGCATATTCTACATGCAGAATCATCAAGTCAGATAATGTTTTAAAGATTTATATTATGATTTTGTTTATGACGAACAATTTGGAAAAGTTGTTCAAAAAAAAAAGAAGCATGGTTAGTTCCAATAGAAATATATGCAATAAATCTTGAAGTTTTAAATTTGGCAGTAAATAATTCAATGATCACTGACAAATACCTCAGGACCCAAATAATAAAATATAATCAAATATAAAATAGATATATATTAGTTAAATTTTTACTATATTTTTTTTTACTCACTCAAAATTTCTGCCAGTAGTTGCCGGATAAAGAATAGATAGTCTCAACTTCTTGTTGGGATCCACGATGAAAACAGCTCTGGCGGTCATCGGCATTCCATCCTTATCCTTCTCGTCCGGGTCAATCATACGAAGTTTTACTGCTAATTCGCGGGAACTATCATCGATGATTGGGTATGGGAATGTCTTGGTCATTTCGCCTAGCCGAAAAAAAATCGAAAAATTAAGGGAGGCGGTAAATATGTGGAAAACTACAGTAATTATTAATTTCTTGTAGGGTAAGTTCAGTAATCGCAAAAAAATCGAAAATGAAAATGTTTATATATCTTTACATTTCAAAGGTTTTTGAACATTTGGCATACCTTAGAAAAAATAGATGTATGTGTGTGTGTGCGAATACAAATTTTTGTCGACGATTTCGGAAACACAGATCAACCGATTCGAATAATTCAAAAAACATTCGATTCGTATTGATAAGGTGACGTACTGATTAGTTTTTAGCGAAGGCAGGTCTAGCCGTTCCAAAGATACGAGGCAAAAAGTGCCAAAAACGGTAACTCAGTTTTCAAGAGAACGGAGCGTCCGATTTTAATAATTCAAAAAACATTTTACTTGCATTGACAACATGAACTGATTAAATTTTTAGAAAGGCAGGTCCAGCGGCTACGGAACCTCAATAAAAATAGAAATTTTAATAATGTGTACACATTTCGTGTAATTTTTTTTGGGTTTCGTGTCAAGATTTTTAATTACGGTGCAGGAAGTTCCAGCTATTTGCCTCAAGGCACAATGCCATGCACCCCACTAGTTCTACTTAAACTTAACCATTTCCAATTAAAGAAATATTTAAGAAAATAAAAAAATAGGTGTTTTTCATCCAATATTTATTGGTGTAAGGATATTCACTATTTTTAAAAAAATAATATTATTGACAAAAATAATAACGGAAAAAGCTTGTAAGTGTAAGATTACTGTGTTAAGTTCAAACATTGACCAAGATATCTATAAAAGGTTAAGGCGTTTTGAACGTAGGAGTAGGTGACAAGACAAGTGTTACATTTTATCGGTAAAACATGTTTATTGAGTGCATAAAAATAACTGTAGACCATATAAGATAAAACAAACAATTATATGTATTATATTTTATAACGCATTAATTGGCAATAAATAGCTTGGCCAAATGCCAAAAATATTGAATGCTGAATATCATATGAAGCACATGTGTACAACATATAGCTTATAAAGTAAGCATGCATGCATATATAATATTATATGTCTTTAATAATAATAATAATAAATTTATCTTTCATTATTTATAAATTTTTCTGTCTTTACTATTGTTGTAAACATACTGAGCTTGCATAATAAATAAAATATTGATCAAAATCATTATTGATCATTCAATAAATAAAACAACTCTAATTAATCACCGTGGAAAGACGCAACAGAAATATTCAAATAACTCAATTTGTTATATTTTAAATCATATTACTCACCTGCATAGCTCAAAATATCTTTGGACCATTCCAGATGAGAAGCTACTGTATCGCAAGACAAGGCAATTACCTTGACATTGCGTTTCTCAAATTCTGGCATCAGTTTTACAACCCTGGCTAATTCGGTGGTGCAAACCGGGGTAAAATCGGCCGGGTGAGAAAATAATATTCCCCATCTGAAAAAAGGAAAGTGAATTAAAAATTAAATTCAAATATACTTCAAAACTATAATTATACTACTACAATTATTATAAAATGTTAAAACATTCATTACAAGAATCTATTTATAATTTATAAACATAAACGGATTAATCCACAAATTACATACGAATTTCCCAGCCAATCATGAAAATCAATCTCTCCTACAGTCGTATTAGCTTTAAAATTTGGGAATTTGTAACCCAAATTAACTTCATCCCTCTCACTACGAACAAAAATCAAAAAACTAGCAAATAAGCACAAAACCCACTTTAAATTTCCGAACATGGTGTATGTGGTGTATTTCAATTAATAACTGTCACATAACTGAACAAATGAATCGCCTTTTATACTCTCAGACATGGAATTTATTTTTGTTAAAATTTATAAATATTTAAAAATTTAATACAACTAGAAGTTATTATTACTTGAAACACAATTGAACCAGGCGCAATGTTGCAAATAAAAATGTTATCCTCATATGACATGGTATGTAAATAATAAACTCGCATTGTTAGACGGACAATGGTTTTATTGATACAGAAAAATTATTATTTCATTATATCGCAAGTCAATTGAAAAACAATAAATATTAATAGCCGAAAGTTCCATTGTAAATTGTGTTACATAATAGATTGGAGTTGGCAATGTAATAGATACGAAGCACATATTTTTACAGAGAAGTTATATTATTTTTTTGGAAAAACCGATGCAAAATATAGCAACTCTAAATATATTTTAAATAATCGTCATCTTAACTTATTTGTTTATTTGACATCCTGGTGTATGTAAGTTTTATAAAATCGAGTCATTCATAGTTTTTACATGTTCTTAGTATTGACTGACTCTCTTCGATATTTTTGAAAATTTCAAGTAATTCCATTAATGGATTTTAGGCAATATAGCATATGTTAATTGCATATCTTCCTCTTTTATTATATGCAGTTTTAAATCTTATTCAATTTAAACTAGTTGAATTCTTATTCTCACATCTAAGCTTAATACTTAATATATGTTTTATGTCGAATTTTGTCCTTTGCACAGAACAAGCAAATTGTACATTTTGTGGTTGTTCACTATGCAAAATATTAGGTTGTCAAATATCTCCCTTCCGCTTTTTTGCTCTTGGTTACATACAAAAAGGCGGAAGGGAGATATTTGACAACCTAATAATAAATAATACATAATAACTAATATTTAATGACATAACTTATTATAAAAATTAAAGCTAGATGGACATTAATTTCATTTCTAATTTCAACTCAGATAAAATTAAAAGCACTATATTCAAAATTGTCATCAATCTCCACAAGATGCATAGCCCGTAGTTTTTCAAAAAATGATAAACCCAAAGAGGAAAAAAAAGAAGAAAAAAAAGAAAAACCCAAAGAAAAAAAGAAAGATAGTTGTAATGATGAATGTAAGAAAAAACCTAAGAAGCCCAAACTTTTAAAACAAGTAGTGCCTGTATTAGAAGAAACGATGAAATTATTTTTGATTTCTTCGAGGCCTCTGTTGACGCAAGAGGAGTTCATGCAATCATGTAAAATAGCTCAGGAGTTTTTATGCCCAAACGGAGAAGGAGCAAAGTTACAGGTAAGAAGAACCTTAATTACTAAAAATAATGGAACTGCTAAAATGTTTTTTTTACTTCATGATCATTCATGAACACAATAATAGCAATTTTGAAAATCGTAAATCAAAAATTAATTATTGCTTAAATCAGTTAGATTATAATATTTGAATAATCGTGTTTGAATGAACTAATAAAATATGTTTTAATAAAATTATAAAAATTCAAATTTATATTAATAGGCTGGAATTTGCAAAAGAGCGGAGGAAAAAACTAATTGGCTGACTGAATGGTGGTTGAACGCGGCCTATTTGGAAAATAGGGCTGCTCTTCCTATCAATTCGAGTCCGTGTATGGTATACCCATCAGTAAAATTCAAATGCAAAGAAGAAAAAATCAATTATATTGCCAGAATGATACGAGGAGCGCTAGAAATGAAACAGATAATAGACAAGTATAATACTATTTTACTAAAAAATTTTACTTAACCATTAATAAATATATTAATTTTAGAGGAAAACTTCCACAGGAAAAATGGTAAGTACAATCTGGATATGTCTCAATATGGTTTTCGGAACGTGCAGAATACCAGGATGTAAAAAGGATTCACTGCAGTTCCATTGTGACAGTGAACATATTGTAGTTATATATAAAAACAACGTAAGTGTAATTAAGACGTAACAAATGTAAATCAAACTTATCATATGCCAAAATTAACAACTTCAACCAGTCCAACAGAAGTACAAATACTTGAAGCTATATAATTAGGAATTTGTGTTTGATTTCAGTTCTTTAGGATGCCAGTATTCGATAAATGTGGTATTGACATGTTGAACGAGGATCAAATCACCTGCCAATTAAACTTGATAATGCAAATGGATACTCCGGGGGATCCCGTGGGCATATTAACTACAGACAATCGTGATAATTGGGGCAGAGGGTTTGAAGTACTCATGAAAGGTAAACCTAGTACAGCAACCACGATAACTTGAACAAAGGCATTGAAAGTTTCATACATATATTCCAAAAAGTAACTTTAGTCCGTTGCGAGTCTTATATTATATGCACCAAAGATTTGTAAAAATATAAATAATAATTCTGTATTGTCTTCAGTTTTTGAAAATATCCGAAGCAGAATATAAAAAAAACATTTAAACAAAATTCTAGAAATAGTTTTTTTTTTCTTAAAAATAATAGATAACAAATAAAAAATAGTTTTTTTGTTATTGTCGCTGATCACATTTTTCGATATATGACAGAGGATCACAACAAGAAAGTATTTGAAATAATCGAAACATCTTTATTCATCATGTGTATCGATGGACCCATGCCTAAAGGGGATTCACTTAACCAGCGGTCAATTGCTGCAAAGCAATTATTGCATGGTGGTGGAAGCAAATACAATTCTGGAAATAGATGGATGGATAAAACCATACAGGTAATACAACAATATTGTTAGCATTATTTTAGTAATGTAAAAATCAATTAGAAGTAACTCAAATCAATTTTGATGTCCATTATGAGCGATTCAAAAAATATTTTTCCACTATATCGGGTTTAAGCCACATTCGTCCACCCATCAGGAAATTTCTAAAATTATATTACTAATGTTGCAAATTATTACGCATCATGGCAGTAGTATAAAACCTCCATTTATAGTTTGTAGTTGGAGAAGAGGGTCAAAATGGTATGATTTACGAACATGCACCATGTGAAGGAGGCCCTGTAGCCACGATAAGCGATTATGTGATAGCATATATTCAGAAAACGTCAAAGCAAAACCATGCTGCCATTATGACAAAGCATGTCATATAGTATTCAGTATCGGATCGGATGTTCAAGCTTTAATATCAACGGCCAAAACAAATTTAGATTGTGCAGTACAAGGTATTCAAGTTCATGGTTGCCAGTTCAAGCAGTTTGGAACCGATTTTATTAAAAAAAATAATCTCAGCCCAGACGCTTTTGTACAGTCGGCATTCCAATTGGCATTTTACAGGTAATAAGGAGCAGTCCTATAATTCCTAATATTATTGCAAAATAACGTAACATTAGGCAATCATCCAGGAAGATCGTAATGCGATCAGAGTTTTCAAAGACATTCTATTCTAAATTATTAGTACAACGTATACTTCTACAAATATTGAACAATGCAAGCCAAAACTAGATCACTAAACGAGATAACAACATATGCAAATATTTTTATTTCAGAATACACAATAAGCCTGGAGCTACTTATGAATCTGCAGCGCTACGGATTTTCGAAGATGCTCGCACAGAGAATATCAGAGGATGTTCAGCGGAGTCAGTAAAAATGGCCAGAACTTTGCTCAATAGACGCTCGTGCTAGAAGATCAAATGAAAGTTTTAACAGAATCTATTAAAGCACACAGAGCTTTCACATTGAAAGTAAATGTAACTTGAGTTAAAATAATGCCTATTAGTTCTAAGCATCTGATAATCCTCAATCTAAGGCCACCTTAGAAATTGAAGCATAGTTGCTAAAATTGCATATATGATTTAATTTTGCTTCGTGCAAACCTATTTCTAAAACCAAAAAAATTTTATTCAATATCACCCCCCTTAAAGACTCACTTTCCAAATTTACTTGCATATGCAATTACATACAGTTGTATGTAATTCACTGCAAATGATCAGAATATAGTTTTTCAGTAGCATTCATAACTCATTATGATACATACAAAACTCACTACCATCTTTTAAACCTCATATTGGAGATAATTCCATAGTTAAGATTTGCCGTACAACATAAGTAGCCAATTATTTTATTCATATTTTTATATTCATTAATTGAATACATATCCTTAAGGCTTTACAAGGGCTGGGATGTGATAGACATCTTTTTGGCTTAAAAATGATGGCAAAGGAAATGGATATGGTTACACCTCGGATATTTTCTGATGCAGCATTTGTGAAAAGTACACATTGGAGATTATCGACAAGCCAGGTAAAATCACAATTTGCCAAAAAAACTTGATTAAATACATTAATCCTTTTCCAAATTTTTATTGAATTATATTAGGTTTCTACAAAGTCCGATTGTTTTATGATCTACGGACCCGCAGTAAAAAATGGGTATGGATGTTGTTACAACCTCAGGGCAATCAATATGAATTTTGGAATAACTTCATATAGTAGCTATCCTAACACTGTACCCGAAAAGTAAGTATTGATTCTCTAAAAATGATCGTTTTATATAATAATACATAAATAGACATAGTAATAATATTAAACTAACTATATAATAATTTCAATGATGGAAAATAACTGAACTTAATTAGATTTCGAGTGGCACTCGAAGAATCATTAAATGAAATGTATGACATCTGTTGCAAATTTGCTAAGAAACATCCACCAAAAAAAGAAGAACCTAAAAACCAGAACCAAAAAAGCCTGAACCTAAGAAGCCTGAACCCAAGGCTTGCGAATCCAAAAAAAGTGAACCAAGTGATTCGAAAAAGAGTGAAACTAAAAAATGTGAATCCAAAGACACAAAAAAAGAAGAAAAAAAATAATACCCTTTAAAATAACCATAAAAATGATAAACAATTAAATTAAAAAAAAAAATTGCGTTTTACGTCCTGTAATTGTGACACTTTTTGTATAAATTTACATATTTTGTAATGGTTCTACACATCTAATATTTATAATTATTATTATTATAATATATATTTCATAATTTCTTACTTGTTCTAGAAGTTAAAATAAATATATGATGAAATTGATTCTTAAAAGTCATTAAAGTTTAAGACTAAACACCAGCATTTTTTCTTAGACTAAAATAAAATGGCAAAGCAATTTGTTCAAATAAAACTTAAAACAAAGAAAATATATACAAATAAATATATTTTTATATTTTTCTAGCTAGATGCTATTACTATTTAAAATAGATTATTAAAAAAACTTCATTTATATTT